TGGGTGTGTATGTGGTGAAACACTAAACAAATGTGCCAGGATCTGGACAATAAAGATGTATCTTATCTTATCATTGAAGTACTAGGCTGACCCGAGGAGAGATGGATAGAGGAGATCAGGGAAACATTGTACAAAAAAAAACAATGTAGTCATGATGATTAGTGGAGCTGATTGAAATACTAGACAGACCCGGGGATAGATTTATCTTTCCGTTCAGGTGCTCTAAAAATCCCTATGTTAATATTATTAAAATCTTGTTATTCTCCTGCTGTTTCTCTGTCACCCTTCTGTTCTGTTTGTCTGTCTGAGTGTGAGTGTGGGTGTGTGTGTGTGTTTGTGTGTGTGTGTGTGTGTGTGTGTTTTAGTAAATACTTTATGGAACTTGCAACAGAATTAGGGCATATAAATTCCGAAGATTAAGGGTGTTACAAGAGAGTAACAAACACAAAAAGAAGAAAAAATAGGTATTAAGTACGATAGAATTATGATGTTTGACAGAACAGATAGAGCAAACCACACCAGAAGAGCACACTTGCAAACCAACCACCCTCACCCATCAGATCTGTTCATCATTCCATTGCACGATCATGACATTACCAATAACCATCATCATCATTATCCAGTGCCAGATCTGCATCAGACATCAGCGATCAATGAGTATTACAAATATAGTAATAGATAGCTCAAATCCCCGCTCAACAGTAAACTCTACGCGCTTCACAATCTATACTATTACCAACCTGCTTCATAATGGACTGGAACCTGCAGGTCTCTCGACACTCGCTGCGCCGGACAAAGTTATTTCCGTTCCCGCCACAGCCCAGGTAGAGGAACATGCTACAGGGGAAGACCACGAAGCGAGGGTCGAAGTGGAACCGGATCTGAGGGATGCAGGGACCCTTCAACGATAGACCACGGCCCATGTCCACGGGCTGGGTACATTTGCAGGTGTTGATGCAATCTGAGGAGGAACGCAGAAGGACAGATTGGAATTATGAAAGAACTAGCTGGGCCCCCTCTCGATGAAAGGGATGATCGGTACATTAACATCAACTGAAAGTACAGAAAGTCATTGGCCTACTACCTCGACCTTTGCGAGCGTGAGGGGTTCCAACTGCAGAACGTCGTTTTCTT